AACTATAAATATTAAAACCTTTATTATCAATGTTTGATAGAAACATAAAAAATTTATGGTTGTATACAAATTCTTTCTTTAGCAGAGGAGACACATGAGATTTTATACTGCCACTGTTAAGTCACTTTTTTCTTTCAGACAAAATCTAATTATTCCTGCCCGAATTTCTTTCTTTCTTTAACAGAGGTGGCATCATCCAAAAGAAGTAAAATAGAATGAATAGCTGAAGCTCTGTATATAGTTAAATAGCAGATTCTGTATCAAGGTCATTCAGATAGGCCATTCTGCTATGGTTTGTTTCTTTTTATTTTTCTCCTTTTTTAATTTCCAGTCCCCTAGCCTTTCTGCCTCCTTTTGCTATTCAGTATGTGTTTGTCACAGACTCTTTTTGTTTAGAAACAAATGCATTCAGACATCTTTGGTACTTAGAAAAGCAGTCTCAAATTATATCAATTGTTAACATAACAGGAACATATAGGAGTTTTCCCAGGTTTTTCCCATATGCTGGATGACTTCAGTGCATTCTGTAACTGTACGAGATGGAAATAAAAGGTGTCTACCCAAATGTGAATTTCCATGTCCCCATAACGTGCAAATGGAAAATTACTTTCAGCGTTGTTGAGAAAATTCATTGCTTAGATGTAGGATCTGAAAAGGAAAACTTCATGTCTTGTAGTGGGAAGCTGTATGAGATGTAGCAACACCTATGTATTTAAAATATGATTATCAGATTTGAAATGCAGAATTAAGCAATCTCACACTATTTATGCTATTGGAACAATAAATGTAAACTTCCTGAAAAATGAAATGTGCAGAGAAACTAATGGTCAATAGTGGCACTAGTATCATTCTAGAAATATATTTCATAGTTTTGTTGTGAAGTATACAAAAAATCAGGACATACTGGGTTTCTGCATTTTACTACTGTTTTCTGCCTTCTCAGCTGGTGTGTTTTAGGTGGCCAGGCAGTACTCACTGGGACCCTTTCCCCCTCCCAGCATCACCTCCAGTAAGGCCCCAGCTCGGCTGTGTCTCTGTGTAACACTGCCACAAATAGCCAATAATAATCTCTTTGGTTTGTCTTGGGCTCTCTGCAAGTCCAGAATATTATTGTTGTAGAAGCATTTGTGAATTATATAAAGGGTATAAACCCCCCAAACCAACAGAAACCAGACATTTAAAATATTCTTCTAGGCTACCTGTCCTTCCCTGTGATGGTACTACCATGCTGCCATTGCCCTACTGCAGTTATCTTCCCTGTGGAAAATTACAGGAATCCTCTTGGCTTTCATGCAAACTACACTGTGTAGCCAACAGAGTGGGAATTTTCATATATTTTGAGAAAAAATGCACACTTAAACTTTGCAATATGCTTGTGGTGACACTGCTATTGCACTACCAAGTTGCAAGATTAATTTCACTTACATTGCTGTAAGTTTATTTAATTTAGATTAACAAAAACCACCATAGTATTAGGATAATCAAAACTGTATAAATATCTGAAGCTTCTTTTGAATAAATCAATTTTTGAATAGACAAAGAGTAGAATACACTTTCCTGCAATCTAGGACAAAATGCTGTGTATAAAAGTTTCAGGAACTGTCCACGGATAGTCTTTGCTGTAAATGAATGTTTTTGAATAACACCAGTAATCTGAAGGTAATGAAAGCAGTTTATGCAAGGTGCAATAAACAGCCATTGTTGTGTCTACAGAACATTACTTTATGCTACTGTGAAGATTGTCTTGTTAGTCTTCCATCTGTTTTGAAAAAAAATAAAATTCAGAGGCCACTAGTCTGAAAGAAGCAAGGACAAGATAATAACTAGAGACACAATCCCTGTGCTTTGGAATAGGACAAATTGTTACAACAATCACAGAGAAAGCTGTACAGAGGTTACAGGAAGGCAAGTTAATGCAATGCTTAAAAAAAGGGAACAAAGAGTGTTAGAGCTAAATTACTAAAGCAAAGAAATGAAAAATAAAGCTTAATTAGAAACAAATGTTGCATGCTGTGTATTAACAGTGGAATGCTTGCAGAAAATATGGAAAAGTCTTTGTTTACTCAACCCTGAGTCATGGGCAAAGGTTTACATAAACTGAGCTTCTCTCCTGATCACAGGTATGTGAGAAGTCCTGTGGGGATGGGTAGTCAATAGAGCTTCTCACTCACTTGAAATCAGACAAATGTTTGGGGTTCAGTCACTCGGGGTACAAACCCGGTTGCATAATTGTCAGCAAAAAGCTCCCATTTGATCACTGGGGCCAAAATCCCACAGATGCAGCAGGCTCCAGCCCTGCTGCCAGCAGCCAGGATCCATGGCTGGATGTCAGCCCAGCTCCTGGACGGCAGCACAAGGGGCTCTGTGACTTCCCGAGCTGCTTCTGGGGCTCCCTTCCACTCACTGACAGGAATGAGCTTTTGTCTTATGTGCAAAGGAGGAAATGTTAGCAATAAAAGTCCTGATTAATGAATATACAGAGCAGATCCTGCTTTCAGTCATACCCTTTCAACCTCACTGAAGTTGTGGCTGTCTTGAATCTAGTCAGGACTCTTTTAAGCCTCCATATCTCCAGAAATCCAGAGAGCCTTTGGGATGCTAAGGGCCAGGTCCAAGAAAGCACAGGTTTATATAGTGGGACATCAGAGTGGGAAAGAGAAAATGCTCCTAGAAAGGACTGTGGTGGGTGATGTAAACCCTTATTACAGCCTATAGCAATTTAATGAAAGTGAGTCAGAATAAATAAATACCTGAGGTGGAACCAAGAGGCAACTGACCCAGCCTGAATGGGAACTAAATTGCAGTTGATCCTATTGCATCACTAAATTACCCTCCTCAAGGGGAAGGAATAAAAGTTCCATGTTGTGCTTTTTGTTTCTGCTTTAAAAAAGTTTTAATAATTCAAAGAAATGTCTAGTGTTGGTAAATGTGCATGGTAAGTACTTGATGGATTGAATTAATTCCCCTCTGTGTGCTGACATCCTTCTCACTGCATAGGGAGATTCTACAGATGTATAGAAATGCTGCACAGGATGGGATGTTTCTTTATGGCATTTCCGTGTGCTTCAAATCTCTGAAGTGTTTTCTGTGTGTGTGCTTTATATTGAGTCGTTAAGCACAAAAACAAACTTATTCACAAACTAGCTTTGATCTAGGCTTCCTGTGATTTATCTCGGCTGCCTATGGCATGTACTGAAATCCTAGCTGATTGTTATTAGCTCCCCAAATATTTATATCACTCCAGATAATCAATGCTTATCACAGCCAATACAGACGTTAAGAGTTCCTCAAAGAAAGGCACTGTCAGCATAATAACATTTTAATTATTGTGGCATATGTTTTCAAATTAGTCTTTTCTTTCCAGTATCAATTGAAAAGCGTAACTATACACATCTTATTAATAGATGATGTTAAAAATATTATACATGTAAATTACAGCTTTTCCCACTAAGTGTAAGAAGCAATAATGCAATGTCTTGGAGGTATTAATGTTCACTTAATTTAAATCATGTTGCTAGTGCTGTTTTCTGTTCTCATTCCCTTGCGTTTGCACTCTCTACAGAATGTTTTTCATTCAACTGCTGTGTAAAACAAATTTGCTTGTGGGGGTTTGGTGATATAAAGTATCTGACTGGCACCAGTGCATTAGTTATTCTACATGTAACTGAAACATAAATTCAATATTTGGAGAAGTAGAGATAACAGCATCTACTGGTTTAGAAGATGCAGATGACATGCTTTTGGTTATCAAGTGTGCTGCAAGTTCATGGGGAAGTTCAGTGGAGAACACGCTGAGCCCTTCTGTCCCCCAGCTTCCCAACTTCATGTAGCCTCCTGCTCCCTGCACCATTTTGAAGTTCCCCAAAAGGAAGTGCAATGCTTTTTTCTTTTTTAAAAAGATATTTCGGAGAAAATAGTGTTACTTACTTTGTAAGGAAGACTAAATATTCATCTGTCTCCCAACAGAATCTAGGCTAGGAACCCCCCAAAAATACTTTTGTAGGCTGCACAGTCATGCTTTAAAAAGGGGAATTAGTCTTTATCTCTTTATAAAAATGCTTGCTGCTCATGCAAGATATTAGGGACTCAGTTCTGAATCAGAATTCTGATTCTGTCTTCTGGATAGATACAAATCAGAAGATAGATGTGTGAGGATTTTTCATACCTTAACTACCTAGAACTTTGACTCTCACCTAAAAACAATAAAATGCTAAATGAAAGTTAAAAATATTTTCAGAGTGGTTGAGCATATTGCTTTTATTACTGTTCTCATGCCATGAATCTGTAATTTTTTGTTTCTGATGTATACAGAACATTCACACACATGCATATATGCACCCACATGCTGACATACAAAAGTCAGCTGAAATTCTTGGTCCTTCCAACTCACAATGAGTACAATAATCAAAGTTTTTCCTGAAAATCCCTTTTCCTGAGGTCACTGGATTAGTTCAAAATTTCAGCTTCTATTTGAAATGCAGGCTCTTTGGAACCTCAGAACCACCTGGTATATCTGGACCTTTCATGACTGATTCAGAAAGCTGAAACATAACAGTAGTAAGTTATCTGTATATTCAGAAGGAAAGAATAATTTGGGCAAACAATTTGAAAGTTTACAATCCATCTGAATGAGACTTCTGTTTTCTTTTGCAGGCTTACAGACTTGCCATTTTATAAATCATGTGATATAATCATTGTAGGTCCACACAGCCTATATTTCTACTCATGTTACCTGTGAAAAGAATGTTTCTTCTGCTGGAAAATGATATCTTGTATGTCATCTTTATTGGTGCTTACTAGAATCGTAGAATTATGTAGGTCAGAGAAGACCTTTTAGATAATTGAGGTCAACCAGAAATGAAGAATTTGGATGAGTGTGGTGGGTTTTTTGGAAGGTACACTTTGCTTTTCTGATGTGGTGGTTTTTTTGTGTGTGGTTTTTTGTTTGTCTCTTTTTTTTTTTTTTTTTTGGTTGGTTTTTGTTTGTTTGTTTGTTTGTTTCTTGTTTTGTTTTTTTTTTACTTTCCAGAGCTCACTTATATGGTGTTGTAAGATCACTGATCACCATCACAAGTCTGCAAACTAAAATGCAGGCTACATTTAAGTTGATTTAACTCAGAATTGAATGTAAACTCTTGTTCCTAAAAAACAACTGCACATATGTGGGTAATTTTCAATGCAGTGGATAAACTTTATATCCCTTCATAATTCATTTGGTTGTTTCTGTACAACAGCTTTGCTGGAGGACTCTGACAAATGTGATACTCATGCTGTGTGAATGTCTCATTCATGTGCAAACTGTACCAATTCAGGGGAACAACCAGTGTGAATAAAGCACTGTCTGCTGACCTGTAAACATAAAGGGAAGAGAAAATTGGAAAAAACAGGACGATGTTGCTAATGCACATTCCATTTTAGGATTAAGGAAATAGTTGTGGTTGAGTAGACTCCTCCTCTGTTGATTTCTATTAGAAGTGTATGAATTGTTTCCTTTACACCATGGAAATGTAGAGAAAGGCTTTTAATGCAGACAGTAAAACTGATGGTAACAACCCTTATGTTAATGTGCAGAGGTGCACTTGGGAGCTGTATCTTTGTGGTCTGGTCTGTTGCATGGATCTCTGAGGACAAAAATATCAGGAGATTCAATGCCACTGAACTTGAAGGGCAGTGGATTAAAAGTTGATCCACTGTTTTCCTTCAGCATAGATTGAGTCTCTTCAAGTAAAGTTTCAGGTCACTTCTGGGGCATCATTGCAGGTAAATGAGCACTGTGTTTATTAGTCTCTCTGGTAGATACGAAGGTTTCAGTTTTAATGATTGCAAGATCAAATATTTGACAAAAAGTGAAAAGCAAAGACCGGACGTATATATTCTAAAGTGAAAGAGGGAGGAGAATAATGAGTTTGAAAAGAATAAAACACAGGCTGGTTAGTGGAAAAGAATGCTACAAAGGTCTCTGTGTGAATCTTCAGTTCCTGGAGTTTCTGCCAATTCCTTTTATTACTCTTTCAAGTAACCAGGTACATATGGCATGTTTGTAAGTAAAGCAGTCAATGAAGTTAGTTACACCTCTGCATTTATTACCCTACCCCTGAGTATTATTAACTTTTACATTCCCCATAAAATATAATTTATCACTTAAATAATTTGCTTTGTGTCAGGGTTCAGTGTGCTCCAGTGCTTTCCTGCTCATTAAATGAGATATTTTTACTTAATGAGCCCAGAATGTCCTTTGCATTTAACATTAGAATTGATTTCAAACACTCCATTTTTCTAACATATTTTTATGTAATTTCAGAATGTGGACTTCCTTCCATAGTCTTACTCTGAAGAAAAAAGAACTACAAAGAATAATGACCCATGAATTCTGGAGAGGAACGCAGTAAATATGTGTGAATATTTTAAAAAACCCCTATTATCTGCCTGCACTTTGCATTCTTTCTTCTAGTTGGAAAGTCTAAGTTACTATTTGAGCCTGATGCTGCAGTTATTACAAACATGATACTCCATTAGGAAAGTGTTATTAGAAGGGACTGCAAGATATGGATTTCCATGAAATTAACAGCATTTAAAAATAACCTCACACTTAGATGTATGTGTGTGATGCCCTGATTCATATAGCAGACAGCTAGTCTTTCAAATGTACACAGTTCACATATAAAATATTTATCCATAGGATAAATAAACATCATAGAACTCCAGCAATATGCACCTAATGGGGATCTGTCTCATCTCTGTGCAATTGCAAAAAATAACTTTGCAATTATTTAATAAAATCTGAGTAGAGAAAACCTATGTTGTGCAGTAAATAATTTGCTGATAATAATCACTGGAACCAAAAACCAGCCCAAACCTCTGAGCTGTCTCAGCAATTCCAGGATAAACACTGTGCCACACTTCAAATGGAATTTTGCCACCAGCTAGATCTCAAGGAGTCAGTGAGTAGTATATGATGGATCCACAAGTGAGTGTTAATTTGAGTCCACTATAACAAATGTGACCCTCTGTGCATCAGCTGTACACCACTGACATGCAAGCCTGATCAGTCAGGTGCTCAGGATCCATGGCAATGTGCATGGCCTGAGACACTCAATAAAGGACAGGAAAGCTGAAATTCAATACCATAAAAATGCTAATATTGTAATATAGATTTTTTTTTCTTTTGAGTGGAAAAAATTAACTCATGAAATAAGCAAAAATAAATTTATATTTAACTGAACGCGCAACTTCTTTTCAGAGTATACTTGGCCATCATTAAATGTCATATGCACATTTTCCCATTGTTGCCTTGTCTCACCTGACTAAGGGCTTGGGGCTTTCTTTCTGTTTCTGTTTGTTCCTCTGGACCAGGTTTTTTGGCTGATGTCCATTTCCTACAAGGCATGTGCAGCCGTGTAACTGTGGGGCAGCTGGATGGGGTGGGAGTGTTCATTGTGGCTACCATGGCACACGGTGGGCACAGCAGGTAGCAGTGGGTGGGCAGTCTGTGCCTTGGTGTGGCAGCTTTCCCCAACACACTGTCATGTTTTCTCACCAGGCTGACAGAACCAGCTTATTTGAAAAAAAGAAGTTTAAAACAGTGCAATAATGTTTCACAAGACTGGGTCATGCCTTGTAGGTCAAGGAGAAAAAGAACATTTCCCTGATTGTAACAAGAGGAGTGTGATTATACATACAAGTGTATGAAATGTGAGATCTTCATTTTTGCCATACAGGGAGAAAAAAGAAAATCAAAAATTGGAATCAACTGTTGATTATGATTAAGTGAGGGGTGAACACACCCGGGTTATTTATTAACAACATCTCATCATTGAAAAGGCTACTAAGTAACATAATAGCTCTGATACAGACTGGGGAAGCAATGTCATTGAATATTTAAAATATGAAGGAATCTGTACTCTTGCTGTTACCCATCAGAGGGTGCATCACATACCCCTAGAAAATCAGTTTATTTTGCTTTTCCTTACAGTCTTTCATCATTTAGCCCATTTGAGCTGCAGACAGTTAAAGTTGGTACACTCAAGCTGAATGTGCTTTTCTTTTTCATATTTTTCACTGTAAAATGAAAAGGAAGAGTGATGGAGTTATGTTTTGTTTTGTGCTTTGTTTTATTTTGGTTATGTTCCCTCTCGTTCCTTTCCCCCTCCCCCAATGAAAAATAGTGCTGTCATTTGCTCCAGGAAAATAGTGAAATATCACTTTAGATACTGAAGTCTGCAATGTTGTAGCATATTTATGTGGTCTGATGAGTTCTCAGATGATAAGAGACTTTTCTTTCCTTCTGATTCTATAACAGCAGTAGATCCGCCCTTCATTTCATTTTTTAAGGATAGACATGAGATATTTTAAATTTTGTTTGAATTACTCTTCTAGATGATAATTATTATTGATCTGTTTCAAATTCTAATGTCAAATAATTTATTTTTAAATGAAATATAAGCAATTTCAGTAAAATGTCAGTAAAATATCTGGCAAAAATATCTAATTTTTAAAATAAATTTTTGTCTTCTGCACTGTGAATGTTTAGTTGCTCTGGATGAATAATAGTTTGGTTGTTATATAAATCTTGTGGGTGTCTCAATGTATGCAGAAAGGAAAATGTGATGCACCTGCTTGAGAAATTTCTGTGATGGATCAGCAAGTCTTTTGGGAAAGGGGGTTGCTGTGTTGCTTAGAGTTGGGACTGGACCTATTAGAGCTGCAAAACCAGAGCTTTCTCCCCTTTAGTTACCACTCCTGGAAACACATTGTATTTTAAGAAAATTCGGGTACTTTATAGAGGAGTCACGCCTATAATATTTCCTTTATTACTGTAATTGACAGTTGGCATTTTATTAGTATGTGTACAGCTGATCTTGGCACAGGTATTAGGAAACAATTCTTTTCATCAGGCAACTGCCAAGGCTGTTTTTTGTTGCTGATGTTTTAGTTGGTGGTGTGACCCTAGGGCTGGGGGAGAGCACAGTTTGTTGTGGAAAGCCTCTGGCCAGGTCACACGAGGAATTGCAGGGCTGGTCACTGGCACCAATGAAGAGGCACGAACAGGTGTTCGTATGGGACACCTCACGAAAGTGAAAGCACAGCAACCTAAAGTGATTTTTCTCTGACATCTGAGACCTTGTCTGTGACTAGAAATGGTGGAAGAGGGAATAAATGTCAGATGGATACAAGTGTCATTTAAGGTTGTAAGTACACTGCTCCACTGGGCTTGTATCAGTATATGCATCTGCAGGCAACGAATTTTACTTAGGGCTTTTTTATTTAATCAACTATTTGTATTTGAGAAATAATCTATGTAGTTGCAAGAGAGGGTGAGATAATGGCGCTTATCAGATTCCTTTTGGGAATGGCAGTAAGTATTTTATAGCTAGTTTCAGTTAACATAAACTTTCCATAAATGAGATACATAACTTTTTACACATGTAGACTAAGGCCAAAGGTTCTCTTCGCTCTTTGAGAGCGCTGACATTAAATTTTTTATTACTACCCATGATGAATAATGCACTTGACTTCAGTTTTGACAGTACTATTGAGAGAAAATACTCATGTTTCTTGCAGAAGTATCTAAATATCCAAATTTAATGCTGAATAAAATGCTTTCTCTTTTAAATGAATTACTTTGCTCATTTTGTTACCTCCTGACAGCTGCAGCCTTTCTTGCATCAGCAGTCTCTGTGTTGCTGCCATCATATTGTTTGTGTGTTCATGGCTGGCTTTCAAGCTGTCATTTCTTTGTGTCTTGGGGCTGTGTGGTTTGGTTTTACAAAGGAGTCCTGGGTCTAATATTGCCACTGCCATCCACTTTGCCACTACTGTGTATACTTGCAGCTGTCCAGAAACTCTTGCAGAGAAATGTAAATTGCTTTTCTTAAACCTAAACACAAATTTTCATAGTTTATACTATTGGCCACTGTGCCCAAGTTCATTTGGAGTTACTTGGGCACTCTCCTGCTTTTATAGCTCAGATTCTTCACACTTTTCTATTTGAGTCCTGTGATGCTTTGACTTCTCTGCTATGTTAGGGATGCTCTCATATTGTTTTCAATTTGGCTGGAGTAGCTTAGCTTGCTTGCAAAATCCCAGGCTTTATTTTAGATCTTTGATACACTCTTTCCAAGTGTTTTGATACACTCTGAGTGTTTTATACCAAATCCAAAGCACATCCAGCTTTCCACCAGGAAGCTAACCCTTCCCTCCATATCGTGAGGTTTATTGTTCAGATCAGTTAAAGGCTTGTCTGTGATTTCTCTCTCCTTTTCTATTGCTTGCTTGAAATTGAGTTTCTTGGTGGTTTTTTTGGTTTTGCTTTTTGTTTTGTTGGGTTTTTTTGTTTGCCTGTTTTTGGTTTTTTTGTTTTTTTTTTTTTTTTGTACAAGAATATTTTACATGTAGCCTGATTCCTATCTCCTTCTGACCACTGCAAGTCTTAAATGAATGTTAAATAGTTGCTGAAAGTTGTGAGTGAGGGCAGATTTTCTTAGGATCATGTGTTCCTGGGAAGTTAAACTGCAGTAAGAAATGCTAAACAGTACAGAACTTTCACCAGAACTTCTGCATTTTCTGACCTATCATCTGAAAATTATAACTTAAAGAAAATAAAACCCCTTTAATTGGAACTGATTCTGATGTTCATGAATCTAACTTTGCTATTCTGCAAGTCTCCTTCTTTTACTTGTTAAGCACAAAATGATTCAATGAGGCAAATGAGCTTGAATCTCATTAGACATCATCCTGTATTAATGGAACTGGTTCACTCATATTTTATTCATTAAATAATATTTGTTAATGTGTTTTTCTATTTTAAACTCTTACTGTAAAAGAGGGCATTATCACCTCAAAGTATTTGTTTCCTAGAGTGAATGCCAATATTATCCAGTCACGCCATATTCTCCTAATTATGCTGAGAGTTTCTTTCCTAACAGCATTTATTTTCAGGTGTCAACAATACTTCAGTTAAATGTAGTGTAAAGTGCACTTATTTAGCAAACTTGTCCTTCAGAAAAGGTTTTTTTTGTCTTTAAAACACCTCTAGATTGTTTCTTTCTGTCAGTGCATGATACAATAGAAATCTTAAATCAATAACACTTCTTATTCCTATGCAATTGATGCATAACATCCTTCTTCACACAGAGGTTTAATGTGTTGTAAATTAATTATCTGGAATGCGTAGAGGGTCAATGGACCTTGGTATGACTGGGATGTGATGTTAAAGTGTTCCATTTCCTTCCAGCCCTGCTCAGCTCTCTTGCTGACTTCTCTCTCTGTGTCAGCTATGCCATCTTCTGCACTTTGGTCCCTTAAGTGTTGTTAGTGCCCCTCGAGGGCTTGATCGATAGGAAAAATTTGCTTTACCATAAATTTGTCCAACAATTTTCTTTCTTC